TCTTTATCATTTATTTCTGCTCTAATCTTTATTATTTCCTTCCTTCTGCTGGCTTTGTTTTGTTCTTTTCCTAGCTCCTTTAGTTGGTAGGTTAGGTTGTTTCTTTGAGATTTTTCTTGCTTCTTGAATGGGCCTATATTGCTATATACTTCCTTCTTAGTACCAGTTTTGTTATATCAAAGTTTTGGACGATTGTCTATTCATTTCATTTGTTTCCATGTATTTTTTTTAAATTTCTTCTTCGGTTTCCTGATTGACCTATTGTTTAGTAATATGTTATTTAACCTCCATTATTTGTGATCTTTCCAGATTTTTTCTAGTTTCTTAGCATCGTGATCAGAAAAGGTGCATGGCATGACTTTAATCTTCTTAAATTTGTTGAGGCATGTTTTGTGGCCTAATATATGATCTCTTCTGGGGAATGTTTCATGTACACTTAAAAAGAATGTGAATTCTGCTGTTTAAGGATGGAATGTTCTGGGCAGTCCGGGTGACTCAGAGGTTTAGCGCCGCCTTCAGCCCAGGGCGTGATCCTGGAGACCCGGGATCCAGGCCCACATCAGGCTCTCGGCATGGAGCCTGCTTCTCCCTCTGCCTGTGTCTCTGCCTCTCTCTCTCTAGCTGTGTGTCTCGTGGAGCTCGATCCCAGGTCTCCAGGATCACGCCCTGGGTTGCAGGCGGCGCCCACCCGGGCTGCCCAAATAAATAAAATCTTAAAAAAAAAAAGATGGAATGTTCCAAAAAATGTGTTAAGTCCACCTTGCCCAGCATATCATTCAAAGCCATTGTTTCCTTGTTGATTTTCCTGTTTAGATGATCTGTCCATTAATGTAAATTGGGAGTTAAAGTCCCCTACTATTATTGTAGTATTATCAATTAGTTCCTTTATGTTTGTCATTAATTATTTTATATATTTGGGTACTCTTATGTTGAGTGCATAACTATAATTGTTATATCTTCTTGTTGGGCTATCCCCTTTATTATGATATATGCCCTTCTTCATCTCTTATTACAGTCTTTGGTTTAAAATCTAGTTTGTCAGGGTGCTTGGGTGGCCCAATCAGCTAACCACCTGCCTTTAGTTCAGGTCATAATCCCAGAGTCCTGGAATCAAGCCCCTCATTGGGCTCCCTGCTCAGCAAGAAATCGGCTTCTCCCTCTTCCTCTGCCTCTTCCCTGGCTTGTGTGTGCTCTCTCTCTCTCTCTCTCTCATTCACTCTCAGTCTCAAATAAATAAATAAAATCTTTAAAAAGTAAAATAAAATAAAATCTGGTTTATCTGATACAAGTATTGCTACTCTGACTTTCTTATGACACCATTTGCATGATAAATGTTTCTTCATCCCCTCACATTCACTCTGCAGGTGTCTTTAGGCTTAGAATGAGTCTCTTAAAGGCAGCATGTGGGTAGGTCTGTTTTTTTACATTCTGACACCCTATGTCTTTTGACTGGAGCATTTAGTCCATTTACATGCAAAGTAATTATTGATAGATATGTATATTTTGCCATTTTATTACTTGTTTTGTGGTTGTTTCTGGAGATTTTTTTTTTTCTGATCCTTTCTTGTATTTCTCTCTTTCATGTGTTGCTGATTTTCTTTAGTGACATATTTGGATTTCTTTTTATTCTTTGCTTGTTTATTAGTGGTTTTTGATATATGGTTACCATTAGATTTGTTTATAACCGCTTTTGCAAATATTAGTTTATATTAAATTTATGGTCTTTAAGTCTGAATCTATCCATGTTTTAGGTATATGTTATTATATTTAATATCCTTTTGCATGTGTGAGTTCTTTGACTTTCAGAGAAATATTCTTTTTTCACTGCTTTTGTGTTTTTTGCCTTTATGCTATCACTTTTGGTCTCTCTTTTCCACCCAAAGTGTTCCCTTTAATATTTCTTGCAGGGCTGGTTTAGTGGTCACAGACTGTGAAGGCAGAGAAACGAGAAACGAGAACGTCCTAGAAAGCCCCATATTAGAATAAAAACAGAGCCCAAGCCAGTGGCAGGAAGCCCCTGTTAGAATAAGAACAGAGCTCAGTGCCCTTGAAAGCCCCATATCAAAATGTAAACAGAACTTGAAAAATTCCTCCACCCCTTCTGGAGGTCCCCTAGACCAGCCTATAAAAAACTAAGCTGAAACCCACCTCGGGGTCCAAGTCCCTGCTCCGCTGTGTCGGGTATACTTGGACCCAAGCTCCAGCTTGTAAATAAACCCTCGTGTGTTTGCTTTGGTGTCAGCTCCTTGGTGGTTTCTCGGATTCGTGATCTTGGGCACAACATTTGGGGGCTCGTCCGGGATCCGAGAGACCCCCAGGACCCTATCCGGAGGGTTTCACGCGTGGTGAGTGCACTCAACTTTTTCCACCTTTTGCGCGCATATTTCTGAGAGCTCTAACCTGAAGGAATTCCAATCTGTATCGGGTCGGCATTGGCTTAGGTGGACGCGCTGGCGGGCCGTCGACCGGGGGTCTTGAGGAGATGTCCCTTGCCCCCACTGGGAGGACGGGGTCCTCACCTGTAAAGAGGACGGAGGTCCTCATCTTTAAGGAGGGCTGACTGCCAGCCCTTTTGGTTGCTTTCTGTTTTGTCTCTGCGGCCGCACTGGGACGTTTGTCTGTGTTACTATGTCCTCGTTAACTGTGCATTTGTCTGTGTTACTAATGTTGGACCCTGGCTCACGGGTGCCAACGTGGCCCGGTGGACGCCCCAGAGACTCAGACCCCAGACAGGCAGATGCAATTAGCAAGAGGGTTTATTGAACGTTTGCGCAAACGGGCTCCCCATCTCCGAGGAGGAAAAGAGCCCCGATTAGCAATTACAGGGATCTTTTAAAAGGCAAAAGGAAAGAAACTTCCTAAAGACAAAAGAACCGCGGGAGTCGCATGGCATCCAGGTTGATTTTGGGGAGGGTCAACATGAACCTATTCAGGGACATTCCAATCAGGGTGTGGGGGGGAAACGGTTTTCTTATTGTAAACAGAATGCTTTTAGTTGCTAAAATTTCAGGAAGAAGACTGGATGGGCTGCCTCTGGATTAGGGCTGGCCCTACTTACAAGGGGGGGAGGTTTCTTCATTCCCTCCTCTTGTTTGGGCTGATTTTAACCTTAAAATCTTAGGGAACATTTATTTCTTCAGTTTGGAGGGCCCGACATTGCTGAGTTAATACCAGAGCTTGGGTAATAGACAATCTTTCTCGGATGAACTGGAGCAGCCGGTTGAGGACGCAGGGGCCGAAAGTTAGCAGCAGGAGCAGGATAACTAGAGGCCCAGAATGGTAGAGATTAGGGTGGTCAACCAGGGAGACTGATTAAACCAGCTTTCAAACCAGCCCTGCTGGGCCTCCCGGTCCCTTTGTCTTTTATTTAACCTTTCCCTGAGTTTGGCCATGGAGTCTCTGATGACTCCAGAATGGTCTGCATAGAAACCGCATTCCTCTCCCAGGGCCGCACACAGTCCTCCCTCTTTCAGGACTAGTCAATCCAAGCCTCTCCTGTTGTGAAGTGCTACTTCTGAAAGTGAGGGGAGGGACTGCTAGCTTAGAAACGGACTGCCTAGTGTCCTAGATCCTCATCTACAGCTGTTTGGAGTTCAATATAATGTTGTGAGTCCTGGATCAGAGCAGCTGCGCCAGTACCCACCCCAGCAGCGACCCCTAGTCCCAACATAACGGCTAAGGTTAGGGAGACAGGTTCGCGCCGAAAACGGGTGGGATGTTTATCATACTGATTTTCTAGAGTTTCAGCAGGGTGATAGAACACCCTGGGTATGATCTGCACCATGACACAGAAGTCGTTTGAGCTATTTAGAACCTTAGCCGACACACAGGGGGTGAGGCCTTTGTTGCATGCCCACCAAGTTCCCGGCTGGGGCTCCAGGTAAGAATCAGTCCCCAAAATCGGGGTGGTAGTGTTGCAGAGTCTCTGGTAGCCCCGGGGGGGTGTTCCTATGCAGGTTCCCTGTCCTGTAACTTCTGTAAGGGTGAATTGTGGTTGGGAGTCGGGTGTGCATCCCTGAGTGCTAGTGATGTTATTATAGGTCCCTGAAGTAGCAATTCCCTCATAATAAGGGGGGGGGGGATGCAAGGCAGAGCCAGCAGGATTTAGTTACATCGGGGCTGGTTCGATTAAGGGCCAGGAATGCCCCTATGATAAGATTAAACAGTCGTTGTCCCGTCTCGGGTGACGACCGAGGGGTTGGAGTGACCGCGAAGTTAGTGGGTGCGGCGCTCCCTGCGGCTAGGGCCGGGGCAGCTCTTTGTTCCCCGAGGACCGCGTTAGGCCCGATCGCCACGGGGTCTGGGGATTCTATTTTTAGTTTAATTCTGAATATAAAACCATCATCTGTTCTTTCTTTGTATAACCTGAGTCCCCACGTATATCCATTGGCCCAGTAAGTAGCCCTTTTTCCGGGCTCCGTGAAGGATATCCGTAGGGGATGACACCACCCTTGGCAGGGCCCATAATTAAGGGTTTTCCATTTGCTAAATGTCGGGTGAGTATAGTTAGCCTGGACAGTGATATAATCCCAGGAGGAGGAGGGCCTCCATTCTGTATCCCCAGTAGTTTCGCACCCCCAATTTTTACAATAAAAATATTCCCCTCCTCCACAGGTGGGATTTAGCCTGCGATCTCTGTGGTGCCCGGGACAGACATAAAAGGGAAGAGTGCTTAGCATGGCCCTTCTATCAGGCGTGCCACAGCCTCCCCATGGGTCTAATCCCAGTCGCCCTGGAGGGCTTTCTTGGTTAGGGGCTCTAGAGGTGTCGAAGTATCCCTCTAGGTCCCATGGGCTAGGGGCCCCTATGGTTAGCTTGCATAGGTCAGGGTATAGGTCAGGCCACCAGGTTCCCACGGGGGCGGTCTTAGTTATAGACCAGACCTCGTCACCCCCAGACGTTAGTACCTGCCAGGTTAACCTTTTGAGGGCATGAGGGTCACCTTTGGTGGAGGTGAAGAGCGCTAGGAGAGGTAGGAATATAACAACTGTCATTGAACAATTTTTGAAAGTCTTATCTTGAGCGGGTTTGGGTGCGGTGGAGCTTCCATTGGAGTGGCTCGTCCGGTCCGTCCTGGCTGGCGTCAGCGGTGCTCGTTGATGGGGCGCGCTGGACGTGTGAGGCGTGGACCCAAGCAGCAATGCCGTCTACCTTTAAGGCGGTTGGGGTGGTCAGTAGGACAGTATATGGGCCCTTCCAGCGGGGCTCAAGCGTCCTGGACTGATGTCTCCTGACGTAGACGGAGTCCCGGATCTGGAACGGGTGTGGGCCGGTTGTGTCTCCGGGGCGGTAGACAGCCGCAAGGGGTTTCCAGATCTGGTGCTGGATAATCTGGAGCGCCTTTAGCCTGTCCTGTAAACCGGGAGTGTTAGCAAGAGGGTCAATAGCAGAATCTAGTAAGTCTGTTACTGGTGGGGGACCTCCATAGAGAATCTCGTAAGGAGTTAGCCCATGGCGCGCGGGAGTGTTCTGGACTCGGAACAGAACCATAGGGAGGAGTTGGACCCAGTCTCTAGTGCCAGTCTCCAATGTCAATTTAGTTAGGGTCTCTTTAATTGTTCTATTCATTCTTTCTACCTGACCTGAGCTCTGGGGTCTGTATGCACAATGTAATTTCCAATTTATCCCCAGTAATCTGGCCACCAACTGACTTACCTGGGAGACGAAGGCGGGGCCGTTGTCCGACCCTATTACCTTGGGCAGTCCAAACCGGGGGAAAATTTCTTCCAGGATTTTCTTGACAACCACCTGGGCGGTTTCTTGCTTGGTGGGGAAAGCTTCTGTCCAGCCATTTCGTAGAAAGCTACTCCCATCGGTGTACCAGGTTGCTTCAGCATCTGGCAAAGGCTGGTCCGTCAAGTCCCCTCTGGTGCCATGGACTTCAGCTAGGATCTGGTGGCAATCATGCATTACTAGGGAGGGGGACTCGGTTTCTGGAAGCAAGGTGGCCGGGTTTAGAGATGTAGCTGTTCCAAACTGTATCCGCTCAGAATTCAGTAACATGGCCTGATAATGGGTGACCCGGGCGTTTGAGAGCCATCGATCAGGGGGCTGGCGGATGACTGTCTCTACGGCGTGGGGGGCCACCACAGTGAGGGGTTGGCCAAAAGTCAACTTGTCTGAGTCTTTTACCAGGACTGCCACAGCCGCTATTATTCGGAGACATGGGGGCCATCCTGCAGCCACGCTGTCTAATTTTTTTGAAAAGTATGCCACGGGCCTTTTCCAGGGTCCCAGTTTTTGAGTTAGGACCCCTTTGGCTATTCCATTATGTTCATCAACATATAGCGTAAAAGGCTTGGTTACATCTGGGAGGCTCAGGGCAGGGGCGGTCAATAAGGCCCTTTTTATTTTGTCAAAAGCCAATTGCTGCTCCTTTCCCCAGTGGTAGGGGGTGTTGGATTTCGTGAGAGGATATAGGGGAGCCGCCATCTCCGCAAACCTGGGTATCCAGAGGCGGCAGAACCCAGCACTGTCGAGGAACTCTCCTAGTCCTTTGGCATTAGTGGGTGCTGGGATCAGGGCTACAGCCTTTTTGCGGCTCTCCGTCAGCCACCTCTGGCCTCCTTCCAGGAGATATCCCAGATAGGTCACTTGTCTCTGGACTACTTGGGCCTTTTTGGTGGAGGCCCTATACCCCAGTTCTCCCAGTCTCTCAAGCAGGGCCCCCGTACCTTTTACACAATCCTGTTCTGTCCTAGCCGCCAGGAGCAAATCATCCACGTACTGCAGAAGGACGAGGTCCGGATGGCCAACTCGGAAATCTGCCAAATCCCGATGCAAGGCCTCATCGAACAAAGTAGGGGAGTTTTTGAATCCCTGTGGCAGCCTTGTCCAAGTGAGTTGTCCTGAGAATCCCGTCTCAGGATCTTTCCATTCAAAAGCAAAAATAGGCTGGCTTTGAGAGCTTAACCTCAGGCAGAAGAATGCATCTTTTAGATCTAACACCGTATACCAGACATGGCTTGGGGGTAAGGTGCTGAGCAAGTTGTAGGGATTCGGCACCGTGGGATGTATGTCCTCTGACCTCCAGTTAACCTCTCGTAAATCTTGTACCGGCCGGTAATCTCCTGTGCCGGGTTTTTTTACGGGTAATAGAGGAGTATTCCAGGGTGACTGGCAAGGTATTAAAATGCCCAATTGTAGTAGTCTCTGTATATGTGGCCGAATGCCTTCTTTGGCCTCTTTGCTCATTGAATATTGCCGGATCGGTATGGGGGTGGCCGAGGGTTTTAAGTTTATAATTATGGGCGGCTGGTTTACAGCTAGTCCCATTCCGGCCGTTTCCACCCAGGCCTGAGGGTAGTTAGTGAGCCATTCAGAATCTAGGGGCTGCACGGACGGTGGAGAGTCCTCGTGCAGCCGGTGTTCATCCTCTAGGCGCAAGGTCAGTACCTGGAGGGGCTGCCCTCCCGCGCCAGTAATAGTGGCCCCTTTTTGCTGAAAATGTATCTGGGCCCCTACTTTTGAAAGAAGGTCTCTGCCTAGGAGAGGGTAAGGGCAGTCTGGGACCAGTAAGAAGGAATGCGTTACTTGCCCAGTGCTCAGGTGGACCTTCCGTTCGGTTGTCCATCGATATAACTTGCCTCCAGTTGCCCCCTGAACCCAAGACGTTTTAGAGCTCAAGGGTCCTTTTGCCTCAGTTAAAACTGAATGTTGAGCTCCCGTATCGACCAGGAAGGTCACCGGCTGTCCCCCCACTTTAAGGGTTATCCGAGGCTCGGGGGGGGGGGTTCCTGGCCCTGACACCCCTAATCTTCATCTTCTAGGGACAAAACAGGAATGGGCTTCTTTTTAGGTCCCTGCGTTTGGCCCTTCCTTGGGCAATCTTTAACCCAATGTCCTTTTTCCTTGCAGTAGGCACACTGGTCTCGTTCAACCCGTGGTCCTCTTTTGTCTCCCAGGTCCCTACTCTGTCCTGACTTACTCTGCCCTGAGCCCTGTACTACGGTGGCCAGTATCCTAGTCAGCTCTTTATTATGTCTTTTATCTCTCTTATCCTCCCGTTCCTCTTGCTCTTTACGGATCCTTTCCTCCCTTTCCTCTAGAGTTTCTCGCTTGTTAAAAACCTTCTCTGCCTCTTTCACTAAGTCCTGTAAGGTGTACCCCTGAAGTCCCTCCAACCGTTGTAACTTATTACGAATATCCGAGGCCGACTGTCCAATGAAGGACATAATTACATCTGGTTGGCGGTCTTCAGCCAAGGGGTCAAAGGGAGTATACATGCGGTAGCCTTCTATTAACCTCTCCAGAAAACCTGCCGGCGTCTCCTCTTTTCCCTGCACTATAGCACGTACCTTTGCCAAATTGGTGGGGCGACGCCCTGCCCCTTTGAGACCCGCTAGGAGTACCTGGCGATAGAGACGGAGCCGCTCCCTACCAGCAACAGTGTCGTAGTCCCAGGTCGGGCCAACCAAGGGGAAAACATCCTCAATCTCATTAGGCAGCCGGGTCGGCCTCCCATCGCCCCGGACGTTTTTCCGAGCTTCCAGGTACGCGCGCTGTCTCTCCTCCGTGGTGAGGAGAGTCTGCAGGAGCTGTTGGCGGTCATCCCAGGTCGGCTGATCGAGGTGCCCATTGGGTCCTGGCTGGAAGACCAGGGCCTTCACCTGCAAGATAATATCAATATTAAAAGCTCCGTTCCTGGGCCACCCGACGTTGGAAGCCGGCCACTCTGAGGAGCAGAAGGTGACCCATCTTCATCTTCTGACTTCCACCGAAAGATTGTGTGCCCGGCCAGCGACTTCTTTCCAGTGATCTAGAGTGAGGCTTAAAGGGGTGGTTACAGTCTGCCCCATGGGTGTAGAGAAGGGGTGAGCGGTGAGGAGGAGGACAGGAAAGGAAGAGAAACACGGAACGAACAGACGCACACGAACGACAGGACTGGCGCGGCAGATTCAGATGGGAGCGGTCGCGAACCACGACCCTCCCCGAAGAGGAGGGAGTGCCGGGGCTCCGTTCCTCTTCCAGACCACTCCGGAGTCCGACTCCGGAGGGGGACCAGGGGTCTCGGGCACGTCTGCCTCCCCCGCTGGTCCAAATACAGAATACAGAGTACAGCGTCCTGCAGGCACAATACAGACCCGGCACAAAACAGACCCGGCCAGTCAGACAAACGGACGAGACAGATAGGACATTTAGCGAGCTCGGTCTTACCTCCTTCCAGTCTTAGGATTGAGTCTGGGACGTCTCAGATCCCGGACGAGCCCCCAAATGTTGGACCCTGGCTCACGGGTGCCACGGCCGTGACGCCCAGAGCAGACCCAGACAGGCAGATGCAATTAGCAAGAGGGTTTATTGAACGTTTGCGCAAACGGGCTCCCCATCTCCGAGGAGGAAAAGAGCCCCGATTAGCAATTACAGGTGTCTTTTAAAAGGCAAAAGGAAAGAAACTTCCTAAAGACAAAAGAACCGCGGGAGTCGCATGGCATCCAGGTTGATTTTGGGGAGGGTCAACATGAACCTATTCAGGGACATTCCAATCAGGGTGTGGGGGGGAAACGGTTTTCTTATTGTAAACAGAATGCTTTTAGTTGCTAAAATTTCAGGAAGAAGACTGGATGGGCTGCCTCTGGATTAGGGCTGGCCCTACTTACAAGGGGGGGAGGTTTCTTCACTGTGTCTTTGTTAACTGTCATAACTGTTTGCATAAGGAGACGGAGATTACAAATCTATCGCATATCAGTATGGCCAACTTTTGGCGTGGGATGGCCCCGAGAAGGAACTTTCCACCTACCATCTTACAGGTTAAGGCTGTGATCTTCAGGGACAAACCAGATGGCCACCCTGACCAGGTGCCCAACATCCTGGCCTGGCAGGACATGACCGAAAATTCCCCTCCTTGGCTAAAACCCTTTTTACCCCCCAAATGTGCACAATTCGGCTGAAGGTAAGGAGAGACTCCGGGTCCACCACCAGACTCTAATGGCAGGTCTCCAGGCTGCCAGGCGCAAGCCTACCAATCTGGCCAAGGTCTATGATGTGAGGCAGGGTAAGAATGAGAGTCCAGCAGCCTTCTTAGAGAGAGTCATAGAGGCTTTTAGGAGGTACACCCTATGAACCCAGAAGCCCCAGAAACAAAGGCTGCAATTATCATGGCTTTTGTTAACCAGGCCGCTCCAGACGTTAAAAAGAAATTGCAAAGAGTAGAGAGACTGGGAGAGAAGAGTTTGCAGGACTTAGTGATAGTAGCAGAACGAGTCTATAGGGATCCCTGGGTGGCGCAGCGGTTTGGCGCCTGCCTTTGGCCCAGGGCGCGATCCTGGAGACCCGGGATCGAATCCCACGTCGGGCTCCCAGTGCATGGAGCCTGCTTCTCCCTCTGCCTGTGTCTCTGCCTCTCTCTGTATGACTATTGTAAATTTAAAAAAAAAAAAAAAAAAAAAAAAAAAGAACGAGTCTATAATAATAGAGAAAGTCCAGAAGAACAACAAACCAAACTAAGTGACTGGCAGACCCGAAACCTGGCCAAGATCCTGCTGGCCACAACTTGGGATGACCCACAGGAAAGACGGAGGCACCTCAAGAAGCTGGCTTCAGGGACAGGTAAGGAGGATGGCCCTGGTCCCCATCGGGAGCACCCTAAGCTGAACAAAAACCAATGTGCTTATTGCAAAGAAGAGGGCCACTGGGTAAAAAGCTGCCCTAACAAAAGATTTAAGGCCCCTGCCAAGATCTTGAAAATGGAGGACCTGGCCGATTAGGGGAGTCAGGGTTCGGCACCCCTCTCTGAGCCCAGGGTAACTCTTAAAGTGGAGGGGCAACCTGTTGAATTCCTAGTGGACACTGGGGCACAACATTCGGTTTTATTACAACCCCAAGGGAAATTGGCAAACAAAACTTCATGGGTGCGAGGGGCCACAGGCACCAAACAATACTCATGGACTACCCGAAGAACTGTGGATTTCGGCAGGGGCAGGGTATCCCACTCCTTCATGGTCATCCCTGAGTGTCCCTACCTGTTGTTAGGTCGGGATTTGCTCGCCAAGATGGGGGCACAAATTTGCTTCCACCCCGAAGGGGCAAAAGTCCTAAACAAGAAGGGGCACCTGATCCAGGTGCTTGTCCTGAGTTTAAAAGATGAATATCATCTCCACCAAATGCCCTCAGCCCCAATGACTGACATTGACCGTTGGCTGCGGGAATTTCCCCAAGCGTGGGCAGAAACTGGGGGAATCGGGCTGGCCCAGCATCGACCAGCCATATACATAGAACTAAAGCCGGGGGCAGACCCTGTCAAGCTCAGGGCAGAACTGACCGCACTGGCCAAGGCGCTGACCATGGGGGAAGGTAAACGAATAAACATCTACACCGACAGCAGGTGCGCCTTCGCCACCGCTCACGTCCACGGAGCCCTTCACAGGGAGAGAGGGCTGCTGACAGCAGAGGGAAAGACTGTTAAAAACAAAACAGAGATTCTTGAACTCCTGAGGGCCCTCTGGCTGCCCAAGGCCCTAGGCATCATCCACTGTCCGGGGCACCAGAAGGCAGACACGCCAGTAGCCAGGGGAAACCGGCTGGCCGACTTAAAAGCAAAGGAGGCGGCCCTTTTGGTGACCCAGGTCTTAGCTACCACGCTACCTGATCTGGGGGCACCGACCCTGCCTGACACCCCCAACTATACTGATGCTGACTTACACTGGATCAAACGCTTGCCTATGACCAGTGCTTGCATGGCTGGTGGAGGGCCGCAGACTCCAGCATCATCCTGCCAGAGGAACTAGGACGGCGAGTCCTATCCAAAATGCATCGGAGCACTCACATGGGGACAAGGAAGATGGAAGGCCTCATACGACATGCAAAGATCACTATTAAAGACTCTCGAGCAAAGATCGAGCAGATTGTGGCAAGCTGCCATGCATGCCAGTTAACTAATGCCACCGCCCATGGATCTAACCCAGGCACCCGGCTTTGGGGGACCACCCAGGAGCCTACTGGGAAGTGGACTTCACTGAGGTAAAATCTGGAAAATACGGATACAGGTATTTATTAGTGTTTGTAGATACTTTTTCAGGATGGACAGAGGCATTTCCCACCAAACATGAAACGGCACGGACAGTGACCAAGAAACTGCTGGAAGACATCTTACCGAAGTATGGTTTTCCTGTTAAAACTGGGTCAGACAACGGCCCAGGATTCGTCTCTAAGGTAACACGGGGAGTGGCACTAGTATTTGGGGCAGATTGGAAATTACATTGTGCATATAGACCCCAGAGCTCAGGACAGGTAGAGAGGATGAAGAGAACATTAAAGGAGACCTTAACTAAATTAGCCCTGGAGACTGGCGGGGACTGGGTGACTCTCCTCCCCTTCGCCCTATATAGGGTGAGGAACTCCCCATATAAGATGGGACTGACTCCCTACGAGATCATGTTCGGTCTTCCTCCACCTATTATCCCCAATTTAAAACCTGAGGTGCTTGCTGAATTTGATGATCACCAACTTCTTTTCTCCCTCCAAATGTTACAACGAACCCATGAGCAGGTGTGGTCTAAGCTGAGGGCTCTCTATGAGACTGGGCCACCCCCAGACCCCCATCGACATGGGCCAGGTGACTGGGTGTACGTGCGGAGATACCAACACTGGACACTTCAACCTCGCTGGAAGGGACCTTACATCGTGATCCTGACCACTCCCACCACTCTCAAGGTCGACGGGATTACTCCCTGGGTCCACTACACCCAAGTCCAGCCCGCTGACCCACTCGCCGTTCTCAAGGACTTTGTTCCAGAATGGAAAAGCCAACCGGACAAGGACAATCCCCTAAAGCTAAGACTGCGCAGTTTTCACTTATTTCCCACCTCCAAGACTCCCTAGTCTGAGGTTGTCTTTCAAAATAGAAGGGGATTAGAATTAGTCTTCTTACAACAAAGGATGGGGGGGGGGTTATGTGCTGCCTTAAACGTAGGATGTTGCTACTTCGCTGGAATGTAAATGGGAGCGAGAATAACAACAAGGTTGGTTAGAATCCTGGTTTAATCATTCCCCTTGGCTCACTCTGAGAGCAGCCTGGACCCATGATTGGGTCCTTCCTTAGGTTCCTCTGAGAGGGGGAAATGTGGAGGCCAAGAAAATTAAGGCCATTCCACTTTAAGTTCAGTGTTAGAACAAGTACCTCCATCCCAGGCCCCTGTGAATAAGAGCTGAACTTTACCTTACTTCAGTTACAGGAAGAAAACAGCTTACAGCTTAACATCCTAGAAAGCCCCATATTAGAATAAAAACAGAGCCCAAACCAAGGGCAGGAAGCCCCTATTAGAATTAGAACAAAGCTCAAAGCCCTTGAAGGCCCCATAACAAAATGTAAACAGAACTTGAGGAATTGCTCCACCCCTTCTGGAGGTCCCCTAGACCAGTCCTTAAAACTAAGCTGAAACCCACCTCGGGGTCCAAGTCCCTGCTCTGCTGTGCCAGGTACACTTGGACCCAAGCTCGAGCTTGTAAATAAACCCTCGTGTGTTTGCATCGGTGTCGGCTCCTTGGTGGTTTCTCGGATCCGTGATCTTGGGCACAACAATTTTGTCTAAGTCTCCGCTTGCTTTTCTGTTTTAGAAAAGCCAGATATGTATCCTGCTCCTGAAAGTAATGGCCTTATGAAGAATAGGTTATGTAATGTCTAGTGTAATGTCTAGTGCTTCAGGTAGTATCACTAGTATGTGCTGCATGTGCTCTACTATTGTGTCCTGGCTGTTCTATCCTTAAGGCTAGTCATCTGCAGAGACTCTCCTTGTCTGCTCTTGGCAGTTTTTGGTCCCTGGCCTGAATGTGGTGAGTTTTAAGTAGGTGTGCTCTGGTCTGCTTGTGAAATTAGACCTGTTACCATCTCTATGGGAACTGAGATCTTTCAAACCTCTCTGATCAGGACATGTGGTATGAGCAGGAGTTTGTGCTAGTCTTCTGGGGGAGGCATCTGTCATGGTTGGGACTGAGGCAAACCTGACTGAGAATGGCAGTTCCACCAGAGCACTGGGGGTTGGGGCTTGGTATAAGCAAGTTAGGCTGCTGGTGTCAGCACTGCTCTGCTTCCTTTATGTGGCTCTGTAATTATGCTGAGGAGTGGAGGGGTGGCTCCTTTCTTCCCAGAGAGGCTCCTTTGTTCCCAGAGATGCTCTCAGTGAATGCTGCCTCTCAGGGATGAACCCCAAGAAGAGTGAATAATCTCCCCACTGTGTGCCCCAGGTGCTCTTCAGATAGCTGTCTCCACACTCTCTCCCCCTGGGTTGTTTGCCTGCCTTCCCTCCAAGAGCAGCACAGTATTCTATCCTGGCCAAGCCCACTGACCTTTAAAACTCCAAGCTTTAAGCTGGAGGTGAGAATTCACAAAATTCAGCCCCTCTTATTTTCCAAGCCAATTGCTATGGGGAAATGTTCTCTGTGCTTCTCTCTCTCTCTCTCTCTCTCTCTCTGCCTTCTCTGAGACCACAGCTTCCTCCCCTCCACAGCAACAAGAATCCACTTCTTCTTTAAACCACTTCTCCATACTTTCTCTCTTCTTCAATGTGGCCTCTTCTCTCCCTTTAGTAGTGGAATTTGTTCTGTCAGTCTTCAGGTCTATTTCTAGGGATCAAGTCCCACATCGGGCTTCCTGCATGGAGCCTGCTTTTCCCTCTGCCTGTGTCTCTCTGCCTCTCTCTTGCTCTCTCTGAATCAATCAATCAATCAATCAATCTTAAAAAAAAAAAAAAAAGAACCATCAGGAAATTTGGAGAAACAAGTAGTATTACAAATCTGAGAAGGTACATGGCAGGTCAGAGGGCCACACAGGATGGTCATGGGTAGCAAGAGGTGGAGAGCAAGCAAAGACCTGGGCCTCTGCCTTCTTTAGGGTGGAAGGTGGGGTGCCTACAGTTTTGAGGTTTACTTTATTTTTTTTTAAGATTTTATTTATTTATTCATGACAGAGAGAGGCAGACACACAAGCAGAGGGAGAAGCAGGCTCCATACAGGGAGCCCGATGTGGTACTCGATCCCGGGTCTCCAGGATCACGCCCTGGGCCCAAGGCAGGCACCAAACCACTGAGCCACCTGGGCTGCCCTTGAGGTTTACTTTATTGGTGAATTTAAAACATAAGAGCAGGAATTAGGGCACAGGAAGGGAGAAGTGAGGTCCCTCAAGTTGTCAGTTATCTAGGTCATCCAGGGCTTTCTGATAGGAAACTTCATGAGTGGGGCTGACAGAGTTTCTTATCTAGTTTCCTAATCATAGCTATGGCAGAGCTAGAAATATGTTTATTCCAGAGAGATGTCTTTGGAATGGATGCCTCAGCGATCAAAAGCTTAAAGTCAGATGCTTACATTATGATCAGAAAACTTAATGTCAGGCACTGAGAATACACATTTCATCACAGAAAACTAACACTATAAAACTGAATATTAGATACACTCCACTCTCAAAAAATTCCCTCAATCTATTTCAGGGGACTTGAGCTCCAGCCTACCACTCTTTTACTGACCCCTTTCTCCACTCTCTTTTATCAATCCCTCCACCTCCACATTTCTGTTCTTTTCTGGTATGTGGAAGTTTATTTTTTTATTATTTTTTTATTATTTATTTATTTATGATAGTCACACACAGAGAGAGAGGCAGAGACACAGGCAGAGAGAGAAGCAGGCTCCATGCACCGGGAGCCCAACGTGGGATTCGATCTCGGGTCTCCAGGATCACGCCCTGGGCCAAAGGCAGGCGCCAAACCGCTGCACCACCCAGGGATCCCAGTATGTGGAAGTTTAAACCACACTTTCTATCCATAGAAGTCTTCCCCAATACAAAAACCACTTTTCTGCCAACAGGATTTTTTTTTCTCTGTTGTTGATGTGGTAACTTTTTGCACACCCAATTACATTTGGTTTACATTTTGGAATTCTAAGTAAGGATCTCAATTTGAAAAAATTATATTCACTACTAAAAATAGGGGAGAAAGTTTTAAAATAACTTTT